TGAGGATGTTTACATGACCCCTCCCCCTGGCTACTTACAACCTTCTAATCATTGAGTGTGTAAACTGGTCAAAAGTCTTTATGGCCTTAAACAAGCCTCTAGACAATGGTTTCAAAAACTCATTTCATGTTTAATTGCATATGGTTTTAAACAATCTATTGCTGATTGCTCTCTGTTTACATTGAATGCTGATTCTGATTTCATTGCATTATTGGTCTATGTTGATGACATAATTGTGGCTGGTAACAATTTTGATAAGATCAATGACATCAAACAACATTTAGATTTTTGTTTCACTATTAAGGACCTAGGCACATTAAAATATATTCTTGGCCTAGAATTTTCTCATTCTGAACAAGGAATCAACATGTGTCAGAGAAAATATGCATTAGATATTTTAGAGAATACTTGTTTTTTTTATTGCAAACCATCTCACACCCCTATGGATCTCACTCTCAAATTACTCTTGCTGATGAATCTGATAAATTAACTGGTGTTACTGAGTTCAGAAGATTAATAGGCAGGCTTATATATTTAACCATATCAAGTCCTGATATAGCCTATAGTGTACAAACATTAAGTCAGTTTGTTGCTAATCCTTCTACCAAGCACCTTACAGTAGCTCACAGAATCCTAAGGTATATTAAAGGTACAGTTGGTAAGGGCATTCTCTTCTCTAGAAACTCAGATATTTCCTTATCTGCTTATTGTGATAGTGACTGGGCTAGCTGTCTATAAACAAGAAAAAGTGTTACAGGCTATGTTGTTTTTCTTGGAAAATCTTTGATATCACAGAAGTCTAAAAAGCAGTCCACAATAAGCAGAAGTTCTGCTGAAGCAGAATACAGGGCATTGGCTTCTACTGTCTGTGAAGTCCAATGGCTACTATATCTGTTTCAGGATTTTAATATCTCACATGGCTTTCCAGTTTCTATTTTTTTGAACAACAAACCAGCCTGGCCATTGCAACAAACCCTGTCTTCCATGAAAGAACCAAGCACATCCAGCTTGATTGTCATCTAATAAGGGGAAAGATAGCCCAAAAGTTGATTTCTGTCCAGTACATACCTACAAAGGAACAACCTGCAGATCTTCTTACTAAAGCCCTACCAAGAGCTCAATTTGAGTTCTTACCGTCCAAGCTTCACATGCATATTATCCATGTGCAGCTTGCGGGGGGATGTTAGATATATAAATTGTTATTTTCATTATCCTGTAAATCACTTGTACCCTAATTTTCTCATTCAATATTATGCGCAACCGATGTTCTTGTTTTCACTCGTTTTCTCTCGTCTTCCTCATTGACACTTTCGTGATTTCATCTTCGATCTGTTTAATCTAGAATCAAACATGGATAAATTATACAAAATAAATAAGATAACCTAAGTTATACAAAATAAATAAGATAATGTGAAATAAATAAGATAACGTAAATTATACAAAAAAAGTAAGATAACCTAAAATAACTAAAAGTAAAAAATATAAAGTATGTTACATAAGTAATAAAACAAAATAAAAAATAGTTTAGTAAATAGAAAAAATAGATAAGTTAAAATAGTTTATGTTAAATTAAAAAAAAATAAAAATAAATATTAAAATAAAGGTAAAAAATAAATTAGAATTAAATAATTAAAAAATATAAATATTAATATTATTTTTAATAAATGAAAATAGCCAAGGGCTTAATAAATAAAAATAAAATATAATAAAATAGTTGAATTAAATTAAATTACATGAAATCAAATTAAAATTTACTTTACATACAATAAAATAAAATGATAATTCTATTTATAATTTATTCTTGAAAAATCAAAATAAAACATTTTGTATTTAATAAATATATTTGATTTTATTTTTTTTTAAAACAAAACAAATATAATTTATTACAAGTATTAAAAATACATGTCTTTTTTTATTGTTTTTTAAAATCATTAATAATATAACTTTTTTATTTATATAGTATATATATTTTTAAATCCTAACAAAAAAGAGTGTATTTACATTTTAATTTATTTTAGTTATATATAGGTAATTAAATTTATTTAATTTCATATATAATAGAACGGTATGAAATTATTTAATTTAAAAATATTTTAACTTATGTTAATAATTAATAAAATTTTAATATATTATTTTAAATTATTTTAATATAATTCATAATTAAGATTTAATAAATATTTTATATTTTATTTTAAGTTGTTTTAATTTAATTTATATTAATGTTAATAAATATTTTATGTTTTAATCTAAGTTATTTTAATTTTATTTATATTAATATGAAATATATATTTTGTATTTTACTCTATGTTATTGTAATTTTATTTATATTAAAATTTTAAACTTAATTTAATGCATGTTTATATATAAAAAAAAACTAAGAGGTATAAAGGGGTTTCACATAAAAATTATTAGTTGTCAAATGACCAAAAAAAAAGGGAGTGTGCATGTGAAACATAAATATAGTAAGAGGTATAAGGAGATTTCACGCATGTTTTAAAATACAATGGGCGAACGCAAAAAATTCCATTAATACAGGATAATTTGGTGCATTAAACCCATAAACTTAATGGATTTATGCAACGCTTAAGAGTCTCAACAAATGGATAAATAACTTGTGGATTTGAATTTTCTTTAGTGAAATACTATTGGATACATTAGCAGGTTAATAACACCTCTTACAAAAAATAGATAGAATATGGTCGCATTTAAACACTAAATGCTTGAGAGTCTCGACGGATTATCGTTAAATCAGGATAAATTGCTTGTGAATTTGAATTTTCTACATTTAAATATTATCGTATACACTAGTCGGTTAATAACACCTGTTAATAAAGATCTCTCTTCCCTAAAAAGCGAAAACCCTCTCTTCCACAAATTCGACCGGCGCTACTTCCTCTTCCGATTTAGCCTTCCTCGGCAACGAAGATGTCAAGATCCGTGGTCGTTCTTATCCACCTACTCCTCTCCTGAAGTCGCGTGCCCTGATACTGCCAGGGTTGCTCGTCGGTCGATGGCCCGCTCAGGTGGTTGCAGATGGGGCTCCGGTTGGTGGTGGCGACTCTCCTGGTGGGCGTTCGGTCGGAGAATCGACCTTCCCCTCAATTGCTCACGCTTGGGCTATTATTGGGCGTTCGATGGAGGTAAGCCCTTCTCTGTCGCCGATTGGGTTTGCGATTTTCCGGTGGGGCCTCGCCGTTCTAGTGGGGTCTGGCTTCAGGGCGGCGGTGCTCCGTGGTGGTATTGGGCGGTGCGTGTACCGACAGAGGGGACGAGACTCCGGTGTTGTGGCTTCTGGTTATAGTGTTTAGAGTTGAGAGGGCGTGCCATTCTCACCCTCCCCGGTGCGGCTAGTGGTGTTAGGCGGCAGGGTTTTGGTTCTCTCGAGCTCCACTAGTGGTGTTTGACGAGCTCGGGTGGGTCAAGTATGGGAGCTGGTCGTTTCTTTCTTGGTTGGGGACGGGTCGATTCGGGGATTGGTTTGGGGTCCGGTTGGTTCTACTGTATAGGCGTTTTGCAGTTTCGGTAGCTGCTGCCCGGACCTGGAATCTCTCGTGTCGATCGTTTCACTACGGGTTCGATCGTTTCACTACGGGTCGAGCTCTTTCGTTTGCTGAGGAAGTGCCCTGTTTTTGTGTTTACTTTTGTTGTAGTTGTTTGAGTCTGTTTTAGTGAAGTGTTTTTGGTCTGGGCTCTTTGCCTGATTCTTTTATGTATCGTTTTTTTGGTCTGGGCCGTTGGCCCCTGTGTTGATTACCCTGTGGGGGCCGATCCTATTTTCCTGTGGGGAGCGATTCTAGTTGTTGGTAGTAGTTGTTGGTAGTGTTTGAGTCTGTCTTTATTCTAGTGTGGCTAGTTGAGGTTCTAGGAGGTCTTCTGACCTGTCCTCTCAGTTTTTTAGTTGGTAGTTCTATTATTCAGTTATGGACTGTATTTGCACATTTGTGCCTTTTGGTTATAACAATCTCTTATCCTTTTGGCAAAAAAAAAAAAGAAAAAAAAATAACACCTGTTAATAAATTAGATAAATTATGGTCCTACTTAAGCCCTAATGCACCAACCAGTAGAACGGTTGCACATTAATAACACCACATTCAACTCCTCGTGCATCTCATAGATCACGCGTTTTCTGAGCCGGCCTGTAAAGCTTGGGTCCACGGCCCACCTCCCAACATAATTTTTTCCTTCACGGGCTTTTAATTCAGATCCGTTATCAACGGTCCTTTTTTTTCTCCCACCATCATATCATACATGATACGGCACGCACTCCACTTACTTTTCAAATAAGTAAAAAAATAAATAAATAAAAATAAGTCAAATTGGTCCCAAGTCCCAACAGTCCCCTCTCTCTCCATACCAATTACCAAATGCACAACTACGCAACGCGTTTTTTATGTCTAAATAAACAATGTCTAAACAACGGGAAATGCTACAATTCAGTTACGGAATTATTCTGTCGGAATTTGTAGCCGTTAAATCAATTATCCCCGACGATTACATGATGATCTAACGGTTATAAACCCTGATAGAATAGTTCCGTAACGAGACTGTAGCATCTCCCTATTCCACTGGAATTTGTAACCGCTAGATCAACTATCCCCGACGATTACATGATGATCTAACGGTTATAAATCCGAATGATTCCGTAGCATTTTTCCAAACAATCATGAGGAGAACAAATAAAAACCCAACTAATTAATTGATGTAACATAATAATAGAACTCATCTCACTCATCTAATACGCGTCTATTGACAGATCCCAAATGCTTTTAATATAGACCACTTCGTTTTATTTATTTTTCAACTCTCTCTCTCTCTCTCTCTCTCTCTCTCTCTCTCTCTCTCTCTCTCTCTCTCTCTCAACTACTTAAAAACCATATTTAGCAACCACAATTCCCACAAGTCATTTCCTCCAAGTTTTTCTCCCTTCTTTTTCTCACACACCAACAAAAAAGGCCACAAAAAAAGAAATGGGAGAGAGAGACCATCTCCATCTATCAGCAATGACAACTATCCTGCTGAGAATATTGCTATTATACAAGCTCCTCACCTCAATCTTCCTTTACTTGGTCCCCAAGAAGCTGAGGACTTACCTCCCACCTTCTTGGTACCACCACCAATACCAATACCCACCACAACCACAACATAATCACCACCACCAACAACAACAACAAATCCCGAAACGAGTAATGGACCCGGACGAGCTCAAACGCGTGTTCCAAATGTTCGACCGGAACGGAGATGGATGGATCACGAGGGACGAGCTAAGCGGGTCTCTCGAGAATATGGGCATTTTCATCCCGGACGATGAGCTGGCACTGATGATCGGCAAGATCGACGCCAACGGGGACGGGTGTGTCGACATGGACGAGTTCGAGGCCTTGTACCGGAACATAATAACTGGCGAACGGGACACGGATGGGGAGGAGGACATGAGGGAGGCCTTTAACGTGTTTGATCTTAATGGAGACGGGTTCATAACGGCGGACGAGCTGAGGTCGGTGCTGGCTGGGCTGGGGCTCGAGCAAGGGAGGGCTGCTGAGGACTGTAGGAAGATGATTATGAAGGTGGATGCTGATGGGGATGGGATGGTTGATTTTTCCGAGTTCAAGCGGATGATGAGAGGGGGAGGTTTTGCGGCCTTGGGGAATTGATTTCGTTTGTTTGTCTCTTATTTTCGGGCTTTGTAGGATGCAATGTATATAACCTCATCTATGTTTACGTTTTTTTTTTTTTTTTTT